TCTTGTGGGTCCTGTAAATCATCACCCCTCAGAACAGATTGCTAGCAGCTCCTGGGCTTGCCCAGCATTTGAATCATGATTGTATTGTCCTGAACTGCAGGCGGATTACACGGTTATGAATGGTCTTTCTTCATAGCACAAAGCCCAGGTGTTAAAAGCCTGGTCCTTGGAGGCAGGTGAACTTGCTTTTAAGTAGTGGCCTCTCCGCTACAAGCCATGTGACCCTGGCAGTCTACTAATCTGATCCAGCCTGCGGTCTTCAGAGGACTGCTGCCCTCCAGGAGGTCATTGGAAGATGACGCAGGAGAGGTGCCTGGCCTGGTGCTGGCATGTGGTGACCACAGTCAGTGGTGATGACCAGTGCTGTTGTGTCTTTGTTGCAGTTCCTGCAACCATCCTAGAAAACTGGGTTGGGGGAAGGGTGGTCTGTCTCTTTGCTGGCCTGCTTAGATTCTCTTTGACTCAGCAGGGAAAGGTGACCATCCAAGGGACGGGTAGCACCTCCTGCAGATGGGGTGCATTGGCTTTTGTTTTTGGAGATTGGCTTTTGTTTTTGGAGCTAGAGTCTGACTATGCCACCTAGGCCGGAGTGCAGTGGCGTGATCATAGCTCACCATAGCCTCAAACTTCTGGACTCAAGTGATCTTCCTGCCTTAGCCTTCCAAGCAGCTGGGACTACAGGTATATGCCACCATGCCTGGCTTATTATTATTTTTAAAATATTTTGTAGAGATAGGGTCTCACTGTGTTTCCCAGACTGGTCTTGAACTCCTGGCTTCAGGCAGTCCTTCCGTCTCCTCCTCCCAAAGTGCTGGGATCACAAGTCTGAGCCAGGATGCTCCGCCTGGCTCTTTTGTTACTGGGTCAAAGAGAGGATCACCTGGTTGAGCATTTACATGAGCAGTGGCACTTCCTGCGTCAGTGGGCATCTGTCCTGTCCTTGGCGTAAGAAGTGCTTCCCAGAACCGAGAGTCAGGGTCATTTCTTGGTTTCGGAGTGGGAGGAACCCCCAGGAGGACAGTCTCGTGGGAGCTCCAGGGGCATGGCCCCGCCCAATGACCCTCTCCTTCCCTCTGCCCTTCAGTGGTTTCCGAGTCTTCATAGCCGGCCTGACTCTAGAAGAGTTGCGCAGCCTGAGCATCTGTGCTTAAACTGAGGTCTCCGGGGGGTTCTGTGCTCACCCCGAATGAGCACCACTCGAGTCTGCCATGTAGACTTTCTCCTCCACACAAGGAGAGCAGTGCTAGGACGGAAGCAGCAGGGCCCGGCACACAAGTGCCTGCGTGCAGGGCTCCTGCCTCCCACGAGGCATTGCTCCTCTCCCTGTGCTCGTTCTTTCACCACGTTTGCCGCTGCTGGTGGAGTCAGAAATAGCCAGCCCAGCCTGGGTGGGTCTCCACTCCCAAGGGAACCGGCCCCACACCATGGTCCAGTGAGTGGCACCTGTCACCCTTCCCAGCTCCAGGGGTCTTTGGGGAAAGAGCAGCACAGGTGGGCTGGCTGCTGGCCGCATGATGCCACGGAGCTCGCCCTCCCAGCCTATCCTTCCTCTCCGTGTCCTGACTCATCGCGTGCATAGGCAATGCCACTTCCAGGAGAGCCCAGGCGCTCTGGCAGTCCCCAGGTGCTCGCTTGTTCCAGTTTTGCTCACTGGATTCCTGCCAGATGTGGCAGCTGCTGGGACACAGTACATGCCACATTTGGCACTGTATTAATCCTCTCTAACACTAACACTGGAACAGCAAGGATGCCACTGCTTGCCACAAGCTGCTTGCTTTGTGTGTACTGTTTCATTCATTTCTCCAGCAGCCCTGAAGGTAGGTGTTGTTATTTCTGCAGCTTAACAGATCAAGAAACCCTGACTTAGAGAGGTTAGGAGACTTATCTGAGGTCACACAGCCAGTAACCAGCAGAGTTAGAATTTGAGCCCAGGACATGCGGATGCTCAGAACTTGCTTGCTTAGCTCCGCTCTCATTTCCTACTCCCTGAGTGAGCTCATTCCCTGCCTTGGCCGCGACTCGACCACCAGGCTTGAGCCTGATCTCTGCCCGCAGCAGTCTCGTAGAGGGCTGTCTTACACATGACCAGAAGTGGCATCATTGCCACTGGTGGGCTTTTGAAACACTGTGAGCTTTGCTTCTTGTGACAACACTGGCTGTTCCCAGGGTGCTTCCGTCAGCCCTGGCACGTGTCCTGCAGGGCCTGGCGTCTGTGCCATGGTGACGTGTCTCCACTGGTGCCTGGATGTGGGCCGTACAGGCTCATGCGTGGGGTGGCTCGTGGCCTGCCTCTCCCGGAGAGTGTCTTCAGCAGAGCCTGGAGGAGGTGCCGCAGTGGCGCGCGATGCCAAGGAGGTGCAGGCAGGCGCCATGCCAGCGCCTTCCGCTCCCCTGCTCACGGGTTCCTGACCCCAGACCTGCAGCGCCCTAGCCCCTCTGCCTGCTCTCAGTTCCCCCACACCCACTCCCTTCCCCGTGAAAGGTGGGCCCACCACGCTTCGCCTCGGTTCTTTCTGGTACCTTCAGCTTCCCTGCCTGGCTGCCCTTCCTGCTCCCCGTAGCCACCGAGGTGGAACCAGCCACTCGTCGCGCCGTCCTGCCTTGCTTTTCTGCACTGAGTCTCTCGCCGCCCTGCTTCTCTCCGTCCTTTCTCCGTGGAGGCAGATCTGATCATGGCCGCCCACGTCAGGGCCTTGGGAGACTGGCCTGAAGGTTGTGCGTTCTCTCCGTGGGTCGCTCACGTTTGGCTCCAGCTCCTTGTTCTGCTCTTTCCCCTTCTCATGATCGCATTTGGCTGGTCTGAAGAAACCCCTTTAGAGGCCCCTGGGACCTTCAGGACCAACTGGGAGAACAAGCTCGTGGCGCCACGCCTTCCTTCATCTTTGGCCTTACTCTTACCCGGCCTCGTTTCTGGGCCTCTCTGGGGTCCGCACGGAGTTGTCCTTCCCTGACAGATGAAGCGGTCTCACCCCGAGCCTTGTACCTATTGTCCAGAGCGTCTCCCCAGAAGGCCCCCCAGCAGTGGCTCACTCCTGAGCTGTGTTGGGCCCTTTGGGGGCCCTCTCTCCCGCCCCTGCCAGGCTTTCCCCGCGTGCCACCTTGAAGTCCAGGAATGAACATATGCCTCTCCTGGCTGGCTCTCCTCTCTCTTCTTAGGAGTTTCTTTGGTCAGGACTGACTTCAGCAAGGAAAATTCAGAGGAGACTTTGAAAGGATTTTATCCTTTAAGCAGTCTCCTTGTGGCTACTGTTTTTCTCAGTTATTCACAAAAAAGAGAATGGACTGTCCGTGACCGGAAGTGCTGAGCTTGTTGCGAGGCCTCAGTCCTGCTGGGGGCTGGTTTCACAGGGCAGAGCGCTGTCTGCGCTGGCCACTCCATGGGCCTTGCCAGGGTGAGCAGGAGGCTGCCCCCAAGAGGAGCCAGAGCTTACCTGGAAAGGTGATACTTCCCACTCCGTCTGTCCTAGTGGAGCCTTGCCTGCCCCCCGGAGGAGGTGCGCCCAGTGCATCAGCAGTGCCCAGCGCGTGCATCGCCCGTGAGTGTGCGACTCGGGCTTCCGGGCCCCTCTCTCCCCAGGATGGCGGCTCAGCAAGCCCCCTGGGGCAGGGGCCGCAGCCAGCGTTCACTCCTGTGTCCCAGGGCCTGGCTCAGGCCGGGCTCCGTGAGTTTACGTTGACTGAATTTTAAAAAGCGTTGAGAACCAGAGAGGTTTAATTTAATTTGTTTTTCTTGAGTTGAAGTCTCACTCTGTTGCCCAGGTTGGAGTGCAGTGGCACGCTTTTGGCCACCGCACCCTCAACCTGCTGGGCTCCGGCAATCCTGCTGCCTCAGCCTTTCAAGTAGCCAGACCTATAGGCATGCACCACCACACCTGGCTAATTTTTGGCTTTATTGTAGAGATGAAGTCTCACCGAGTTGCCCAGGCTGGTCTTGAACCCGCAGGCTCAGGCAATCCTCTCACCTCAGCCTCCCAAATTGCTGGGATTACAGGCTTGAGCCACTGAGCCTGGCAGAGAGGTTTAATTTTAAAGGAACAGCAGGACTGCCAGAGAGGTTACTGGAGAGGAAGGCCTTTGCTGATCTGCCTCCACCATCTCTCAGCTTCTACCATATGCGTGCAGGAGTCCTGTCTTCCAGAGGCAGGATTCCCTGCGAAAGTTGCTGGACACGCCCTCACTGTAGCCTGGCTTCTCAGAAGGGGTGTTGCAGGTACTGCTGGTTGATCCTCATCTGGAAGATAATTTAGCATTCCGGGAATTTCTTTTGGAATCCTGAGCTGGAATGCCCCCCACTAATCAGAGCCGGAAGAGGGAGGAAGAGGAAATTGGATCCTTCACCGCCCACAGGCCCATTCTTAAACTGCATCAGTAATTGAATGCCATTAAGCAAAGTTACTTTGCCTGCCGTAAGGTTTATGATGAATTGAAAGGGTTGTTGATGGGGAGGGAGCAGCCCCCTTTGGTCATCAATATTTCAGAGGCGTGTCAGGAGCTGGCAGTCCTGGCTGACCTTGAGCGTGGTGGAGGTAGCATGCAGCCCCTGAGGCTGCCTTTTACAAGTCACTTAATGAAACCTAAGCGAAATTTGCAAGGATGCACCTGTGAGTTAATTGAATGAACACTCTCAGCTGAGGGGAGGCTCCCCACATGATGCTCTGGGACCAGCCCGAGCCCGTCCTAGCAGAGGTCACAGCTCTGTTCAGAGCTGAAGTGTTTAATGCTTGGGTGTCCTGATTTATAGCGTCTGCTGGTTCCTTTGGTGTCAGTACTCCCACCACGGCCAGGTTACAGCTGTGACCTTGGGTGGGACTTGCTGGAACCGTGCTGCTCCCACATTCCATGTTTCCTCCTGGTGGCCGGGGAGAGCTTGCTCCATGGGCTTGTTTTCAGATACCTGGCTGGCCTAGACGTGGCCTCGTTACTGAGAGAGAGCCTGAATGGGACGCGCTTTAAAAATGAGAAGCTAATGAGTCTTTCATTTTGTTTTTTCTTCTCCCTAGCTGCCATTAACTTAGCAAAGCTGAAACTTTTCAGACATTATTATGTCTTGGTAAGTAAAAAAAAATCCTAAATTGTAAATAAGGTCAATTCAAGGAGTAGAGCAAATGAACCTCCAGAGAATTGGTGAAAGCACAGGAGTTTGTCCTTTTCACACAGCTGAGGCTGAGCTGTGGGGATTTCTTTCTCTTTTTTGGGGGGGGAGATAGGGTCCCAGTATGTTGTCCCCGGCTGGACTTGACTCCTGGGCTCAAGAGATCCTCCCACCTCAGCCTCCTGAGTAGCTGGGACTGCAGGCACTCTCCTCTGTGCCCAACTTTCATATTATAAAAACAAATTGTGTCTCTTAAAATGGAAAGTTAAATATTTGAGTTACTTTTTAATTTTAGTTTTGGCTTGTGTGTGTGTGTGTGTGAGAGAGTTGGAATCTCACTCTGTCACCCTAACTGGAGTACAGTGACATGCTTATGGCCACCCCAGTATCGACCTGCTGGGCTCCAGCAATCCTTCCTCCTCAGCCTTCCAAGTAGCCAGAACTACAGGCACGCACTACCATGCCTGGCTAATTTTTTTGATTTATTGTAGAGATGCAGTCTTGCCAAGTTGCCTGAGCTGGTCTTAAACCCACGGGCTCAGGCAATCCACTCATCTTGGCCTCACAAAGTGCTGGGATTACAGGCCGAGCCACTGAGCCTGACTTAATTTTAGTTTTAAATTTGGCTTTAAATACTTAGAAAAGTGTTACATGCTTGATTTAAACAAAACAAAATCAAAAACAAAAAACCTGCTGAGGTTAGAAACCCAGCACAAGCCTTGATGAGCTTGGTCTTCTCCCCGCCCCTCTTCCGCCCTCCCCAGGGTGACTGCCATTACCAGGAGAGCAGACAATCTTTCAGGTTTGTTTTCTAGGCATGTGCCATGTGTAGCTGTTCCTCTGACTTGCTATTTTTATTCATTTAGAAAATTGGAATCACCCATCATCATGCTCTTCTGCAGCTTTTTTTTTAGTCAGAGTCTCACTCTTGCTCAGGCTGGAGTGCAGTGTCATGCTCAAGGCCATCGCAGCCTCGACCTGCTGGGCTCAAGCAATCCTCTGGCTCAGGTGATCCTTCCCCCTCAGCCTTCTAAGTAGCTAAGACTACAGGCATGTGACATCACGCCCAACTAATTTTTTTTAATGTATTGTAGAGACGAGGTCTCACCAAGTTGCCCAGGCTGGTTTCAAACCCTGGGCTCAGGCAATCCTCTCGCTCCACCTCCCAAAGTGTTGGGATTACAGGCATGAGCCACTGTACCTGGCCTTTTTTTTTTTTTTTTTTTTTCAATTTAAAAAATTACTCATCTCTACAATAAATCAAAAGATTAGCTGGGCATGGTAGTGCGCGCCTGTGATTCTGGCTACTTGGAAGGCTGAGGCGAAAGGATCACCTGAGCCCAGCAGGTGGACACTGGGGTAACCCTGAGCATGCCACTGCACTCCAGCTTGGGCGACGGAGTGAGACTTCAACTCAAACACAAAAAACATTACTTGAGCAACCCCCTCTTTCAAATTTCCCTGAAGAAAACTAGTTGTAGTATTGGTATAATATTTCTTTAAAGAATAGAAAATTTGAGACCACTTTTGTAAAACTTAGGTTTTAGTCCTGTTTTTTGATAGAACTATGATGGGCATGAAGTCCTATCAGCAAGCACCAAAGGCAGCATTGCTACACCTGAGTAGGACTGTGCTTTTTGGAAAATATAGCATATGGGTCTTCCTGGCTCGGTAAAGAAAGTTTGCAAGCCTTCCATCTGTGGTTTTGGCCTTGACTGTCACTGCGGACAGTTCTTTTGCCTCAACAAACATAAGACTTCAGCGGTAGAGAAGCAGGGACAGTCAATCTACTTTAATTTTTTCCTCCTTGGATTTTGTGTCATCCACAAGAGCAGGCATAAAGCCTCTCTTGATCACGTGGTGATGATGCTGAGTGGCCCTTCAGTGACCAGGCCACGGTCATGGGGCTTTGTGCTGAAACCCAAGCATGCCTGGCCTGCTGTAGGGGCCACCCAAGCTGAGTCCTGTGAGCTGTCCATGCTCTTGTCACAGTGAGGCAAGACAAAGGTATCCACCCTTGCTTGAGTACTTGGGAGTATTTGTATTAACACGTCCTGCGAGTGTGAACCTCGAACGTTTATAGCATCTGCCAATGAAGAGACTAAAGACATTTTCCCCATGTGGCTTTAGTTTGCTACCACTACTGGTAGATATTCCTCAGAGCCTGGGAATAAAAAATATTGCCCCTTTGGAGATTGAGATGAAGTGCTTATGTGTATGGACAGGGTAAAAAAAGATTAGTTACAAGGACCGCAGTTCTTGTCCTCCCGTGAATATGGCTATCACATCAATATGCCAGTCACCTGGAGAAAGTGAAGGAAGCCTTTTAGGTGTAACCGGCAGAGGTGCCATCTCTCTCTGCCGTACTTGCCAACTAACACTGCCAGTGTCAAATACTTGGGTGATTCTGTCTTCTGTTTCCTAGTTAATTTGCGGAAGAAGTTCCCTAATTTTTATGTTGATTGCGTTTCCCATTTCTTTCCTGCATGGAGATTGTATGTTACATATACTTCACCAGGATCATTGCATTTCTCCTCAAACTTGCTGTTCCGTTCCAGTGGCAGTGGCTCTACCAGGTATGTTGCTCACGGGGTCCATGCCGGAGGTTTTATGTCTGATGGTGAAGTTTTGGGGTGTGACTTATAGTTGTTAGTAACTTTTTTTTTTTTGAGTCAGTCTCGCTCTGTCGTCCAACCTAGAGTGCAGTGGCACAATCTCGGCTCACCACAGCCTTGACCTCCTGGGCTCAGGTGATCCACCTGCCTCAGCCTCCTGAGTAGCTAGGACTACAGGCACGTGCCACCATGCCTGGCTAATTTTTTAATTTTTGTGTAGAGATGGGGTCTCGCTATGTTGCCTTGACTGGTCTCAAACTCCTGGGCTCAAGTGATCTTCCCACCTTGACCTCCCAAAGTGCTAGGATTATAGGTATGAGTCATCACGCCTGGACTATTAACTTATCTAGGAATGACTGCTAAGACCTTCCATCTGTTCTGGTCTATAATTAAGATTATCTGTTTGTCCAGGAAAGCTGCTGAATTATGTGAGAAACCTGAAAATAGTTGCATTATTGATTATAGTTTTCATTCTTAAAAGTCTTTGAGGAGAAAAGCCTCAGTCAGAGAAAGTAAGATCTGCCCTGAATAATTGAAACCTAGATGAGACTGAAGGTCATTTCCTCTAGTTACAGGACTTAGAGTAGTTGTGAATCCAGGTCTTCCTTCCTTGCCCATTATTAGTGTTATTACTAGTTTTTGTTTTTGTTGTTTTTTTGTAGAGACAAGGTCTCGCTATGTTGCCTAGGTTGGTCTCAAGCTCCTGGGCTCAAAAGCATTCCTCTCGCCTTGGCCTCCCAAAGTGCTGGGATCACAGGCATGAGCCATTGCACCTGGCCTTGGCCCGTTATTATTATTATTATTTCAGTAATAAAATATTTTGGCAATAAACTAGAATTAGCTTAAGTGCTAGAGTAAGCCACCAAGTGATGTTAAGATTTTTCTTGAAGAACTCGCTTGATGCTTTGGGTACTATAGGAAATTGTGGGTCTATAATGAGCTCTTTTTTTGAATCGGAGTCTCACCATGTTGCCCAAGGCTAGAGTGCAGTGGCACGTTCACGGCCACCACAACCTTGAACTTCTGGGCTCAGGCGATCCTTCCGCCTCAACCTTCCAAGTAGCTGGAACTACAGGCATGCACCACCACGCCCAGCTAATTTCTTGATTCATTGTAGAGATGAGGTCTTGCCAAGTTACCCAGGCTGGTCTCGAACCCAAGGACTCAGGCAGTCCTCTCACCTAGGCCTCCCAAAGTGCTGGGATTATAGGCGTGAACCACCACACCCAGCCCTGTAATGAGCTCTTAAAAGCTATCAGTCAAGAATAGTTAAAACAAAGAACACCAGAGACTGTCATCTCTGGGCAGATACTCTTGGCTTGAGCTGCTTCAAGTCTAAGGCAAGAGTCTACCGTTAACTCTGGCATTTGAGTGAGTAATTACTGAGGGGTGGATCATGAGGACTATGTCAGTTTGTTTAGTTCCACTCCTTTCTGAAGAACGATGTTGCTAATCTCTTTGTTTTGTGGTTTTTAAACTTGCAGCTCCTGGATGAAATGGCCACACTGGTATTCTTTGTTCTAACGGGGTATAAATTCCGTCCAGCTTCAGATAATCCCTACCTACAACTTTCTCAGGAAGAAGATGACTTGGAAATGGAATCTGTGTAAGAAATCTATTCTGTCCATTCTTTTTTTGCCCGACCCTTTCACCCAACTAAAGACAGCACAGTGTGAATTGGCCTAGTTCCTTTACCTAACCTCTTTACCCACCTAAAGACAGCATAGTGTGAATTGGACCAGTTCCTTGGCCCAACCCCTTTACCTAACTAAAGGCAGCACAGTGTAAACTGGACCAGCTCCTTTACCCAACCTCTTTACCTAACTAAATGCAGCACAGTGTGAATTGGCCCAGCTCCTTTGCCTGACCCCTTTACCTAACTAAAGACAACACAGTGTGAATTGGTCCACCTCCTTTGCCTGACCCTTTTCCCTAAGAAAAGACAGCACAGCATGAATTGGCCCAGCTCCTTGGCCCGACCCCTTTACCTAACTAAAGACAGCATGGTGTGAATTGGCCTGGCTCCTTTGCCTGACCCCTTTACCTAACTAAAGACAGCACAGTGTGAATTGGCCCAGCTCCTTGGCCTGACCCCTTTCCCTAAGAAAAGACAGCATAGCATGAATTGGCGCAGCTCCTTGGCCCGACCACTTTACCTAATGAAGAGTAGCACAGTGTGAATTGGCCCAACTGCTCTCAGCATGTTGTTGTTCCAGAGGTAGTTCCTCTATTTTTTTGTTTGGTTTTTTTTTTTTTTAATTGGAGTCTCACTTTGTCACCCAGACTGGAGTGCAGTAGCATGCTCCCAGCCACCGCAGCCTCCACCTGCTGGACTCCGGCAATCCTTACGCCTCAGTCTTCCAAGTAGCCAGAACTACAGGCGCGCGCTACCTCGCCTGGCTAATTTATTGATTGATTGATTGATTGATTGATTGTAGAGACGAGGTCTCACCAAGTTGCCCAGGTGGTTCTTGAACCCGCGGGATCAGGCATTACTCACCTCGGCCTCCCAAAATGCTGGGATTACAGGCTGAGCCACCATTCCTCTATTTTTAACAGAGGGAAACGGATGCCAGGACCCAGCTCTCCTATTTACTTTGAAGTACTGTGTCTGCCAAGCACTGCTCAACCTTGTCAGGGAAAATAGAACTTGCCACCTATTAAGCGTCATTGGAAGCTGCTTTCAGTAACTCAGTGGCAGGAACTTGGGAATACACCTGACCAATTCACAACTGCTGAGAACAAGCAACCCCCTCCCTCTGAGGCCAACCAATAGGAGCTCATGTCTGAAAATGCAGTCTTCTGGGTCGTCTGCAGGACTGCTCATGCGCCCAAATGTTCTTTATCATCAGGTAGCAAAGTGGCTTTCACAGCCAGCACAGTGACTTTGACCTACACGTGAGCACTGACATGGGCTTCTGAGTCACAGGGTGAGGACTCTAGGGTACTGTTTGCTGGGAAAGGACAACTGTTTAATGGAAAATTGAAGAGTGAATAAGCACATTTGCTTGTTAACGCTGAAATACGAGAAGCTGGGCCAGTTTTGTTTAGTTGGCTTAAGGCTGCAGTTTTCCTCTTCTCCCTGGTATGGAATGCTCTGCTCCCAGCGCTGGCTGCCTTTGAACTCTTGTTGACTTAGAGGCTGAGAATCGCCCATGCTGGGCTCCGTGGTGTCAGGGAGGTCTGGCAGCATGGGACATCCTGTGTCCAGTCCCACGACTGGAACAGGCACAGAAGACGGGGCCTGCCAAGGGCCCCCACGCAGTATCTTCCCCTGCAGAGGAAGCAGTTCCTTTTTAGACTGGAAGGAAGCAGGAGGGCCGTCAGAGGGGCTCTTCCAGAATGTTCAGGCACAAAAGAGAGTCAACCTGGTACCCAGCCGCACAGCAAGTAACTGACCTCTCCCCTGCCGAGAGTCCTTTAGCTATCTCTGCAGCATCCATGGAGTTTCTCAGGCAGGAGAAACCTTGGCTGGGCCACAGTGCCTCGGGCCTTATGGAGTGGCACCCCATGGTGGCAGCCTGCAGTTCCTGCCCCCGTCCCTTCCTCGGCTGTCACAGTCGCACCTTGAGGCCCAGGGTGGCTGTAAAAGGCACTTTGCTACTTGCTGATAAAGAACGTTTGGGCACATGAGCGGTCCTGCAGACGACCCAGAAGACTGCATTTTCAGACCTGAGCTCCTACTGGTGGGTCTCAGAGAGAGGGGGTTGCTTGTTCTCAGCAGTTGTGTCATGAAGGAATTTTTGTTTCCTGGTAAAAATTTTTTGAATGTTGTTTGGGTGTTTGTTTGGGTATTTGATGACAGTGGTAACCGTCTCTTAGTGTTAAAATCAGGGAGGGAAGGAGGAGAGAGTAGGTGGAAAGAACCACAGACTTGTTCTTTTTTCTGGCAAAATTTGGGAAGGTTGGATGTTGGAGCTAGAGCTCACCCCTTGGCTGCCTCAGTTTACACTCCTCAGGCAAGGGAAGTGTGCCCAGATTATGCCGAATGTTTTCCATGGCTTGGCGTGAGCCATTGGGAAATGGGACATGAGCTCTCGGGTGGCAGGAAGGCTGCACGTGTGACAGCTACTGAAAGAGCCAGAGTTTGTGTAGGACAGCTTTCCAGGGAGCACCAGCTCAGCTCATTGGAGCAGAAGGTCAGGAGCTCGCTGCGGCTGTGGTAGAGAGCTTTTACATCAGCAAGGAAGTCATGCTGGGAAGTTCTGGGGCTTTTCTTTCGCTTTGGATGCCTTCGCTGAGACAGTCCTGAGGTTCACGAGACAGGGCAGGCCTGAGATGGAGGCGCCGCCGTCAGGCTGCTGGCCGCCTGCCGTCTGTGTCCACTGTAGGGAGCGGAAAGCCTAATTACAGCTTCTCAGAGCATCGTGGCACCCGGGGCTGTCACCTCCCTCCTCTACTTAGAAGTGCTGTTCCTGGATGGCACCTCTTCCACCCTCCAAAAATAACCCATGCCAGAGGCTAGCAGAGCCCTTGCCTTCGCCTTCCAGAAGGTCATTAGCTCTCTCTACAGTGTCATCATCCACATCAGCGGGTGTTCCTGAGAAATGGCGCTGGGTCTGACCCTGCCACAGAACAGAGCTTGCGGGAAGGCATTGTCCCCACACTTCTGCCCCCTGTTGTCCTGCACACGTCCCGGAACAGACCCACACTCTTCCCAGGGGAGCTGTGGACGCTGGCCTGGCCACTCCTGTTCTCCCTCGCCTGCTCTCTCCTCCTCCATCTGAAGCTGAGCTGGGGGAGTGCAGCGCATCTGGGAGGCGACCTCCACTGAGCCGGCCTCCCCTGGGGTTGAGGGCTTCCGGGGAGCTGCCTCCACCCCGCCTCTGGCCCAGGCCACACACAGCTTCCCTCTCGGAGCCCAGGAATGAGGTGCGGGCATAGTCAGAAGTGACACTGACTTTCTCCTGCTTTCCCTTTTGGCGACAGAGTTGACCGTTAGAGTAATCAGCAAATTAAAAGGATAGGATGCACTTGGGATTGGCCTTGGCAACTGCCTCCTGCGCCCTGTGCATCCTCAGTGACCTGGATGAGTTCTGCCGCCTTGAGGAGTGAGCATGGGAGGAAGTGTTTGGTGTGGGGCCGTTCCAGAACACCACCCTGAAGGTTACTGGGAGCCTTCCCCTGCTTCCTGCATTCTTTCCGACGGGTGGGAACAGAAGTGGGAACCGGGGTATTGGAGGCAAAGGAACTGTCCCTGGCCAGGCCTCCAAACGTCAAGTTCAGAACACGGTTTCAGGCCTCAGCCACATTTGCCTGCTGCCCTGTCTTCCAGGGCTTCTACCCTTGGACCAGGCTGCCATCCTGTGTGGCAGAAGGAGCAGGAAGGGGGCGACCCTGGGTCTGTCTGCTTTCCCTCCTCCCGGGCACCTCTGCCCCACTCCCTTCTGCACCCTCTGCAGACCCCCTGTTCCAGGCCCGTGAGGAGCACCCCTCCTTGGCTTGGCACTGACAGCCCTCACTTTGGGCTGGCTCAAGAGTGGCTGGCCCTTGAGGCAGGTGCCCCCCTGTAGTCAGCAGGGGCTTGAGGAGCTGCTGCCCTGAGAGGCCTGAAGGGACTGTCAGCTTTGCTGGTAGCAGGCTCTCCACCGGTCACCAGCTGCCATGGCTGGACTACTCCTCTTCGCCACTGTGTAGAGTGAGTAGCAGTCTTGTGGGCCTGACTTTGAGTCTCACCCTACTCACCCTCTCCTAGCACGCCCCCCCACCTCATGACTGGTTTCTGTTCTCTGGAGCACCTGAGTCACAGTGCGTGTTCTGGAAGCTCAGGTCCTGCCTCTTGCCCTGGAGGTGCCTCCGTGCCTGCGCCCAGGCGTCTGCTTCCTAACTCCCAGAGTCAGAGCCAAGGCCCTGGGTGACAGTCCACTCGCCCTCCAACCCTGCCTGCCACGCCTGCCCGCGACCCTTCCCGCCACCTTCACATAGCCTGGCTGGGCTGCCCCTGCACCTGCTTGGCGTCCCAACCTCTCTGGGAAGCCTGGTGGGTTTTCACCCCAGCCTTTGCCTACTCTCTTTCTCCTTTTTGGAAATTCCCCTGCCTTCCTTCCCCCGATCCTGCTGACATACCGCTCCTCACCTGTCACTATAGGCTCAGAGCGTCCCCAGCACCCCAAGCAGAGGGAGCTCTCAGTGGGGCCACGAGCAAGCCTGGCTCGGGCTCCCCAGCCATGCTGGAGGCGGCTTAGTGGTGTTCCCTGGAAGACTCCCCTGGCTCTGGGGTCTGGAAGAGCAGCAGTTCCGTTCTTCTTCCCCAGTGACACGGCACCAGGCCTGTCTTGCAGGAGCAAGAGTTGTTTTCCCACTTGGTCCATCCTCTGGAAAGGAATGTTTTCTTAGGGAAAGGGAGGTAGAAAAATGCCTTCCCGAGCCTGCAGTCAGAGCCACACCCGGGTTACTGCAGATTGAGCTTCTGGTCCTTTTTTAGCGAGATGTGATAACCATCAGGCGGTCGCGTTGCTCCTGGGAGTGTTGCTAGGAGATTAGGGGTCGCTCTGATCTAAGCAGGCATGGAGAACAACGCCTGCTGCCCAGGTGTGGAGTGGTTGTGGTTTCCTGGCTCGTGCTGGGCACCGCTCGTGTCCCTGTCAGGAACAGCCCTGCACGTCCATTCCCAGGGAGGTGTGGTCCCTCCTGAAGAGGCCAGGCCTGAGACATGACCCTGTCAGCAGGGGTGATGTGGGTGTCCCGCCAAGCCATGCCCCTTTGTCCTGGGTATGCTTCTGCACCACTCACAGCTCTGCAGAAATCTCCCAGTTCCCGCTAGAGCCAGGTTCTGGCCACATTGCTTGTCCTGCATGTCTGAAGGACTCTGGTTTGAGAAATGTCCCAATGGGGCGGGGGGCAGGTGACGCTGAGCCTGGGCACAGCACCAACACAGAGACAGGAGTGGAGGGAGGAGGAAACCTGGGGGGAAAGAAGCCACATTTGTTGACCATGAGGACTAGGTCTGCTCTGCTTGTGTCAGGTGTGAGGCCGCTGTGTCACCACTTGTGGGGTGGCTAGTGGAGGGCTAGGCTTGGCCCTTGGAGAGTCTGTTGTGTTGGTCAATTGAGTTTATTTTGCTAACTAAGAAGTCCTGCTGGTCCGTGACAGGGCGCTTGTATGCTTCCCTGTCTCCTGGAGTGCGTGGGAGTGGCAGGGCTGGGACTTGACACTCCGTATCTCTGCTCAGTTTCTCCTGCCGTCCTTCGTAGGTACAGACAGCTTGGAATCTGCCCTGCTCACCTTTTGTGAGGCCAGAGACTGTTGTCTCAGAGACCCAGCCTCTCGAGGGATGTTCCGGTCCACCGTGCTGGGAAGGCCTGCCTTGTGCAGTCCTCACGCCCTGTGAGCCCAGTTTCTTAATGCTTAGCGTCAGGGACCAGCTCATGGCGACTCCTCCATGCCAGGCCCCAGCACAGGAGAAGGCCCTGCCCTGGGATCCCAGTGGAGGCAGAGGCCACATGCTGCCTGACACCACGTGGCCTGGCCAGCCTGCAGAAGCCAGGGCTGGGTTCTGTAGAGAGCAGCCCATTCTCTATGGTGGTCTGTCTTTGGGCCCAGAAGATTCCTCCAAACCTGTGATTCTGCCCATGACTCAGAAATGATCTGCTGTGGCTCGTTATTTTAAATGTCTGTAAAGACAATTAGCTTTGTTTTCTGGATGTTAACTATGATGCAGATATTGTCTTTATAACTATAACTGTCATGTATATTATATATGCAGCATGAAAATCCTGGAGGCCATGACAAAAAGGGGACGAGATCGATGAGGATTATGGGCACAATGACTGACGTTTGTCTGTCAGGTGCTTTGGAGACGCTCACTTTTTCCTCGTGGCAGTTCTGGAAGGGAGTTATTTATTGCGCTTATGCACAGAGAGACCATTTCTTACACCTGAGGGCAAGGGACTTGGCCACGGTCACAAAGTAGCAGGAATGGGCCGGGGTTGCAGCCCGGCCTGCCTTGTTCCCGCACCCTCCACCTCAGCCACCCCTCAGCCTGTGCCACTGCTGAGCTCAGCCAGGGCAGGGCCACCTTCGACTCTGAGACTGGGGTGGTCCTCACTGTTCCTTTTCCTACTTGTCCAGAGTGACGACGTCAGGAGTGATGGAGAACATGAAGAAAGTGAAGAAGGTGACCAACGGTTCCGTGGAGCCCCCGGGCGACTGGGAAGGCGCCGTGTGAGAGAGCCAGCCCCAAGGCTGTCGCTATCAAGGAGGACGTTTACTTTCTTTCTAGTCCCATTGGTGAGCGCGAGAGCTCCTGCCAGTGAGCATCGGCACCTCCCACAGTGACAGCCCAGAGCCCGCGGCCGGGAGCGGGCACCACGGAAACCCTCTGTACTTTCATGGAACCAGGGTCTGAGGCTGGTTACCGCAACTGGGATTCTCCTCAGGCGGGGCTGGTGGGAGGGCGTGTAGGAGGAGAGGAGGACACCAGGCAGTTTGTTTTTCATGTAACCCCCTTTTTTCCCCACTGGGAGCTCTGAGGCACATGTGGCTGTGACCCCCCACCTCCCCTCCTTCCTCTCCCCTCCTCAGTGTGTCACGGTGTGGGAGGGATGGTTGGGAGAGGGGTGGGGGCGTGGGACACCAGTCACAGCACAGAAACGGGCTTGGGAAAGGGTCACAGTCTGATGAGGCTGTAGGGACTTACCAAGAAGGGAAGGGAGTGTGCCATTGGCTCTTTGGGGGACAAAAATGAATGCAGTTAGGTTGTTTTAGAAAGCAAAGTCAAAACCCAATTTAGCAGCGCCCACCCCAGGATTCCTGCCTGAATGTTGCCCCGGACCTTATCCCAGACCGTGAAAGTGCCCAAGCCAACGGTTCTAGAACCCCAGTGGTCTTTCCAGCAGCCTCTGTCGTCCGAGTGCTGGGGTGTCATGGTCGTGCCCTGGTGCTCCGCCCAGGTGGTGGGAAGTGGCTTTCTTGCAGGAGATGTGTTCTGCATTGCCTGTTGGAGGGAAAGTGTGTTTTTAGGCTCAAAAGGCATTCTCCCATGGAAGGCCCCGGACTGCCCAGAGCAGCCAGCACGTCCCTCTCTGTGGCTTATGTCTGTTTCATGTGATCAGAATTTGGGGGGAAACAGGAGGAGATTTTTCCTAAGGAACAGCGATGGACAAAATAGGTTGTATTTCAGCAAATACTTAAGTACAAGCAAACCATCCTCATTACAAAGCTTTTCCTATAGGCCAGTAGAATTTCTAAGTAGACGAATTAAACAGAATTGGTCCCTATCTTCCAAGAGGACGTGTGTGAAGGAAGTGAGTGCGATTAAACAGGTTTATTCTCAGGGACTTGGGATGGTGGGATCTTTTAGAGAAACCAGTGACGTCTCTTCCAGACTTTCAGAGCTTGGGGACAAACACAGGCTTCTGCCTAAAGTGAGCAGCATTGCACTCAGAAACAAGTCACTTGGATGACTGGACAAGCTCGGGAGGTCCATGGTCATTGAGGGCTTAACAGGAGACCAAGACACAGCCCCAGCAGGAAAGCTGCTTCATGCCTAGGGGGCTAGTGGGGTAGGGTGCTTCCAGAAGCTCGAGCACCCTTGCCTGGGCCTGTCAGGGTGTCAAAGTGTAGGGGACCAGGCTCCGTGGGGTGCAGTCACAGGCTCTGGGAGGTGTCCTCACCTCCAGCTCAGAAGTGTCGCTAGGAAGCCATAGGGTCTAGGGTAACACTCGCTGTTCCAGGTTTAGGAGCCTGAAAAGCCTTCTCTGCGGGCACAGTCTTCCTTCTCCCACACCATTTTCTCTTCCTGAATGACCAGGGAGGAGGCAGGTGTCCCTTTGACGCAGGGATTGGCCAGCATGGAGGAGTAGCATGCCATCTTCCTGGGCCAGGGCTGCTGCCCCGGCAGGTACTCGAAGGAAGTATCCGCGTAGCTTCCAGTCTTCAGAAGCGCTCATGTGGGAACCTTTTCTTAAAGTTAGCTTGGAGCTGTGTCACAGGAGCAGGGAGATGGAGTGGAGGCAGGGACGTGTTTTAACACTTTGCTTTCCTGTGCGTTAACACAGTGCCTGCACTGCAGAAGTGTGGCTCGGGCTGTGGCCATCAAAACCCACCCAGGTACTTCTTCCAGAGGCATGCATTGCTTTTCTCCCACAAGCAGATGACGCTGGCGAGGCCACTGGATGCCTTGGCAGCCACGAGTTACACGCAAGGCCTCCCTGCTGGAGGGGAGTGTCGGTGGAGGTGTCCTGTTTCCCATGCTGGGTTTTGAGGCAAGGCAGCCAACTGTGGAGGAGCGCGGGAGGGCAGGGTGTGTGGACGGGCACTGTGGAGCCCAGCAGAGACGAGCACTAGGCTTCCTCGGCCCCATGCCACCCGGGCTGTTGCAGCATGGCTGGCGGCTGCAGCTGTGTGGTCCTGGTGCTCTGGAATGGCAGTGTGCAGGTGAGAGGAGGGGGCGTCTTGGGGGAAGGGCGGCCCTCCCCTGACCAGCGGGCCACCCGCCGTGTCCTGTGTTGTGGCTGGTGGAAGGCTGGAAGTCTGACGGTTGCTGGAGAAGGTCAGAAGTCCAGCCCAAGACTGGGAAAGTGGGGTGTGGGGCTAGGCTTTTAGGAATCACAGAAGCCCCATCCAGCTCCATGGTGTGTCTTGTCCATCACTTGGCAGCTGTGACCCAGCGTCGGGCTCTGCTGTGGGGCAAGATGACAGTCGGGACCCAAAGCTGAGTCATTCCCCTGGCTCACAGGCGCCTTCCTGTAGCCCCACATGCCCAGCCCCTCGGGTCGCGCGGTCCGGCCCTTGCGGTGTTTCAGGGACTGGGCAGGACATGCTGTGTGCACGTCGCAGAGCCAGGGCCGTGTTTCTCGCTTCGCTTGGCATGCCTCCCCACGTCTGCCTACACAGAACACCCTGCTTCCTCTGAGAAATCTGCTGTGGACTGAAACGCTGCTGGCTGTGAAACTTAATAAAGTACGTGTATTTTGCTAGAAAATTATTTCTTGGACAACAAGAACAGTCATTGATCTTTTTTTTTTTTTTGAGTTGGAGTCTCACTCTGTCGCCAAGACTGGAGTGCAGTGGCCGCTCCCGGCCACCGCAGCCTCGACCTGCTGGGCTCCGGCGATCCTTCCGCCTCAGCCTTCCAAGTAGCCGGAATTACAGGCACGCGCTACCACACCCAGCTGATTTTTTAATTTATTGTAGAGATGAGGTCTCGCTGCCCAGGCGGGTCTCGAACCCGCGGGCTCAGGCAATCCACTCACCTCAGCCTCCCAAAGGCGTGGGATTACAGGCTGAGCCACCGAGCCTGGCTTAGTCATTGATCTCTTAATCCTGCCTTTTAACCATGGCCAAGGGCTCGATCAGCCTATATCTTGGTCTCTCGGAGCTTTAAAATGTAAGTAGCCATACGTTAATAATGCAGAGTGTGACGCTGGTGGACTGTGGTTCATCCTCTCCTAAGGAGACCCTCGCTCCAGTGTAAAAGATGCAGGCTCAGGACATGGCCAAGAAACTGCTGTAGAGTGAAAGATCCAAGGTTTTCCTCACCCAGACATAACCAGCCAGCCCAGGCAGGATCAGCTCTAAGGCCACTTCAGGAGACTGTTGGGGCAAGGTTTCAGTCTGCATTATGATCTCACCGGGATCTCTGCTCTCCGCAGCCTTCCTTCCCTTCCCTCCCCCTCCCCCCTCCTCTCCCCCATTCCTCCTCCTCCACCCCCTTTCTGCCCTGGCCTATTGATTCCACACAGGCCCCTTCTGGGAATCCAGCTTTGGCTTTGGTGCATTGCAGCGTTTCTCCCGCAGCTGTGTGAAGGGCGTCTTTCCTAAGCGAAGGAGAATTTTACCAAGAGAGGGTAGACAAGTGTCGTGGGCCACTGCCTGGGACCCTCTGGGTTGTTCTCCCTCCACGTCAAGGTGTATGTCCTGCTTCTACTACAAGATTTCCAAGAATCTACTACAGGCAGCCAGCCCTTACAGACCAAGGACATGTGGAGAAGATGCCTGTCTTAACGGCAGATGGCATTCTGGCTGTCCCCCATCCGAAAGCACTTTCTTCGAGGGAGGCTCTTAGAACATTAGCCAGGCTGATGAGGGTTTGGCCTGGCTCCATACACCCAGCAGAACAGCAGGGCTGTTCCTGCTTCTGCTGCCAAGCTGCCAAATTGCAAGGGAAGCGGAACCCACCACCCCTCTGCCCCTGTCTCCACCCTGTACCCCTTGCATCTGCCCTAGGACAGATGCACCATATGCTGGGTCCAGGATGTCCACGGCCACTGCTATAGCTGCCCCCCAGGATTCAGGAGGTCAGCGGCCTTCCCACTCTGCAAGTTAGGCTTTGACTGGATACCCTTGGTGTGTTGGAAGGTATTCATTCGGAACAGACCAAATGTTCTAAAGATCTGCTCTCTACTCCCGTCTTCCCCAGGGTGTTTCCTGCAGGGAGTCTTTAAAGACTCGCCCCTGGATTGACGCTGACACTTGTCACCACCTGGAATGTAGTTACCAGTCGCGAGTGTGTGTGCCGTTCCCCAGGGGCCTCTTTTGTAGCAGGAGATGCATCTGTGCCTCTCCATGTGGTTTGTGCTTGAATAGCAGACAGTGCCTTTAGATGGCTCACTGCCAGCGTCCCTGAGACACAGGGAAGCATGTGATGTGGAGGGGCCGAGTACCGCACCAGGGCTTGGTCTTGCTGCCTCGGGCCCTGCTGGGCACTGGTAGCAGAAGTTTGCAGGGAGACCATTTGAAAGGGACGGACAGTTCTGGGTGCAGTCAGGTCAGTGTGAAACAGAGCAATCAGCTCATCCCAGTACAGCTTACCTTGAGGCAGGCTTTGAAATGCCATGGGGGCAGCAGGCCAAGCAGGGAGCCAGAAGGGTCTGCCTTCATGGCCTTCAAGGTCCCGTTGCAGGATCCAGAAATTCGTCCACCCAGGCAGTTCTTGACTCTTGAAGCAGCTTTTGCAGATCATAAATTGCATTTTACCTGGTCATGTGACCGCAAAAGAAGTCAGACATGTTTAAACCAGAAGTCAGTTTTGTTTGAGGGAGGGCCTACAGATCTGTAAATACTTGCTGTCCTGGTTAGATCGCGACACAGGAACTTTCAGTATTTTTGTTGTAACACTAATGATCATTGAAGAGTATTTATGTAAACATATAATGGGTGGGGGATAGATCAGGGTGGTGTAGGGGGTGGATTATCTTGCTGTGATGCAATGTGTAAAATAAAGGTTCCATGACAGAAGTGTGTGTGTGTGTGTGTGTGTGTGTGTGTGTGTGTGTGTGTGTGTGTGTGATCCTGGGAGTCACTGACTCCTGGGTGCTGTCTCCTCCACCTCTCGCTCATAATTTTTATCTTTGTGATTTTTGCTCATTAAATTAGTTAACTGCCTCCCACCTGCTCCGACTGACAATAGTGACACCTACTAGGAAAGTCCCAGGCGTCTTAGCAGGTCTGTGGCAGCCACTGTGCAGAATCCAGCGATTGGAAGCCAGTGGTAGGTGGCTGATCTGCCCGCGCTGGAGGCAGGCAGATGCCTTCTGAACCAGGATGTGGGCACTGTGGCCCCTGGGGGGGCGGCAGAGGCCGGGGCAAGCCCGTGCTGTGACTGGTACGAGTGCACCTTGTCCTGACGTCAGCCGCAGCTCTGCGGGTTATCCCACCTCGGATATGGAGAAGTCCAGGGTTTTAGGCTGGAAGCATTTTTAGAGGTGATCATTCCCAAACCCATTATTTTACTAAGAATGTTGTAAGATGAGGCACATTTCATGTAAGATTCATCCTTTTTGAAAGTGTGGCTCATTGAGTTTTGGCCAAGGTGTATACAGTCCTGTCGCGTCTGCCACAGCCGAGCTAGAACATTTCCACTACCCCATGAAGTTCCCTCCTTCCCAGTCACAACTGTCCCCTTCTGGACCGACCACACCACTGCTCTGAGGGCAACATGCCTGAGCCGGCCTGCCCTGCAACTTTGTGTGAATGGAGTTGTGCGTGCCCGGCCCCCCTTTGGGTCTGGCTTCCTTCACATGGCATACTGACCTTGAGGGCCCCGCCTACAAAACTCTAAAAGTCGGGATGTCAAGAAAGAGTGTGCCCAAGGCCAGGCACAGTGGCCCCCGCCTGTGATCCCAGAACTTGGAGAGGCTGAAGTGGGAGGATTGTGTGAGGGCAGGAATTCACGATCAGCCTGGGCAACATAGCAAGACCCTGTCTCTACAAAAAGAAAAGTTACGCCACTGCCCACCAGCTCCCTTCCCAGCTACTAAGTGTCAGCCGAGAAGAGAGCCCAGGTCTCCTGGCTCTGCCCTTGCTGGGGTGATGAGGATTAGGTCAAGGGCTTGGCACAGGAAGAGCGCAGAAGGTGGCTCTGCTGGTTAGTGCTGTTGTGTTTCTAGCATTGCTGGAAGAATCCTCAGTGCACCCATCCTAGAACTTCAGAAGGAAAAGGAGCCTTATGTCCGTGACAGTGGCCACGCCCCGCACCCCGGCAGCTCTCATCTCTGACGCCCCAGGGGCCGTGGGTGACCAAGGGAGCCTGTGGAGTACAGCGTGAGGAGTTGACGGGGGTTCTGAGAGCGG